TAGTACATTTTTTGGCTGCATAAAAGCACTCTAATAGTTAAATATGACCTGTTCTGTTGCACTTAAGCTTTAGTCAACGTGTTATTTTTTACTCTGCTTTAATCTTCTGTTTTGTGGAGTATGCAAATTCTTTCAAGGAAAAGAATAACCCAAGATAAAAGTTGTTAGCTAGATGGCTAATTTGAATTTGTATGATTATAGTCAACATCTCCTGTGTGGAAAGAATGGTTTGCCTCTTCCAGACCCCTCTGAAATAACTGCGGCAGAAAATTGCTCTTTGGCAGTGTAAAAACAAACAGTTGTTACTTAAATCATGCAACATGTTTAATGCAAAGGAGGAATTGCAAAATACCCTGCATGGCCCATTAGGGGGAATGCCAGCCAGACCTTCTATTTCACTGCTTGCTAAGCGGCTGTGGGGAGATCTTTAAGCCACATGGTAAAATCATCTTAGTCAAATTTTGTAATTTTTGTCATTTTAGTCAACACTGTGCAGAATAGAACTTCACACACCGATTCTCTGTTTAACATATATCACACTGTACACATTGAACCTTTTGTCGGCTTGTTTCATCATAAACACAAAGTCTTCATCCTCAATGGTCCTTGCAGGCAGGCCAGAACGCCCAGTCCACTTTGCCATTGAGTTCTCCAGGGCTTTCTGCTCTTTGGAGTCAGGTTTATACAGTGGGGGTGCTCACAACATCTCTGCAACAGACTTCCCCTCCTCACCCAACCTCTGATCTGGCTGTGGTATCACTGTGTCAGGAATCCAGTTGGGAGGAAGAAATTTAATCGATTAATATCCAGTGTATCAGTAGAACATCTTTCTTCTATGACAGAGAGACAGACATGCAGGCACAGGAAGGCACGCACACACACAGACACCCGTTCATTCTACTACAGGCCGTTCCTTAACTTCTCCATATGGCAGCATGTTGGCTCCTCAAATGCCTGGCTCCTGCCATGTTGAAGCTGCAGACCCTTTGGTGGCGTCCTCCCTCCGGTGTTTCCCTTCGCGTCGTAGACAAAATGGCTCCATACATCCAGGCGTTGCTTAACAAACCGCACACCAGTATCTGCAATGACTGCAAAGTTGAGCTATGAGTATAAGCCCTCTGCTGCTACTGACTGAGCGCTGCAAGCCACTGTGAGACAGGCGCCATGTAGGGACAAACAACGCAACAACCTGTAATCTTCCACGAAGCTCAAACACTTATATTAACAATTACATTTTATTCATAAACAATTACATTTCTTAATGTCCATTCCACAATGGCTCGTAAATTTCATCGTCTTAGTCTCGTTGACGAAAATCATTTTTTATTTTCGTCATATTTTTATTTTCTGGAAACAATTTTTATGCGTTTTTGTCTCGTCGCCATCGTGGGAAAAAGGGGCGATGACTAAATATTTTAGTCATCATCATGGTTGACGAAATTAACACTGCTGTAGGGTTGTTTAATGGAAAATCTACTCATTAATAAATGTTATCTTTGTAAACCTTAGTTTATCACAATGCAGATAACTGGCTGATATGCTCAGTTATTCTATAATTAACTGCCCTGGTCAGAAAGATTTGTAATGCATCTTAATCTGCTCTGATTGGACAAGAACAGACCTCCAGGTACTTCATACACATGGAGTCAGAAGACGTGTGACTTTGAAAAATGTTTTTCTGTTTAGATGCGTCAGAGAACATATTACATATTTATTGGATTGCTTTACCAACTGAGGACATTGTGACAACTTTTAAATAAGGGTGTCCCAATACAGCTCTTCTATTTCTGATACTGACATAGACCTGATACGATATCAGCAGTAACACCTCCATCTATTACTTTGTTGTGTGGAATGTTAGAAAAAGCTTTGTCAAGGTATATTACCTGCATGGGTGTGCAGGTGGAGCAGTGGTTAGCATGCACGACCCATTTATGGAGGCGTTAGACCTTGACGCGGCTGACCTGGGTTAGAATCCGGCCTGTGGTCCTTTGCTGCATGTCTCCCCTTTCCCGAAAAACAATCCACTGGTTCTGTAAAAACACAAAAAAGATAGAGGAGGGAAAAAAAAAGGATATTACTCACAGAACAATAGTCAACATCTATGAGGATGAGAACTGGCCCATATAATATTAACCCGTTGGTTACGGAACTTGAAGCAAAGTGAATTCATTCTATCACCTTGTTCATTTTGGATATACACAATATATTTCAATATTCATTTTTGGTTGATATTATACATATATAGATATCATATAGGGAAAGTCCTACTTTTAAACATATTTTTTTCTACACAATTCAGCAGTTAGAAATGACAAATGAATGGAAAGTTAGTTGGAGGCATTGTTAGACCCACTGATTACATGAACTCACTGAAAACTGAATGTTTGCTTGTTCTGATAGTAGCTGATAATTTGTGCTTAACGGTTTCCATTTAATTCCTTGCTTCGGTTCTGGGTTTCCAATGATCTGAAAACACATTAAATACTGCTAGAGCTGCTTTCTTTTTTCTTCCCTCAGTTCTGGAATATGTTTGTATCTTGCCTTTTGTTTATTTGTTGCAAAGCACCTTTTTTTTTTTTTTTTTTTTTTCTCCATGAATTGTGGTATATAAATAAAGTTGCATTGCGTCATGAAAACTAAAACACCCTAATTTAGCCATTCCATCTGTTGGACCAGAATGATTTATGTGCTTACATGGGGCAACCCTGGTTTAAGAAATGGAAGAAGAAGAAAAAAGTAAAGGGTTTATTTTAAATCGACTCCCCTGGAAGTTTAATATGTTTTTGATGCCAAAACCAAAGACAAATACTGGGAATGTGCATGTGTATTTGTTTTTCTGTGTGCACCAGTTAGGGAAATGGATTTAACATGAACTTCCTGTATTTTAGCCATAATTTACACCCCTAAATTATTTGGAAAATAGTTTAGCCCTTTTCTGTTTCAAAAATAGCAAACGATTGCATGTCTATAAAGCTGTAATCTGATGTGTGCCCCTGAGCCAAAGCTTTTGAGCTTTAAAATTGGATGTGAGATTAGTTTTGATAAAAGAAAACCTCAGCCATCGTTGGCTGCAAGCTGAGCACACGGGACTGACGTACCATTGGTTGGAATACTAGTAGAAATGTGGTTCAAGCTGCAAATGTGACTGTTGGTGAAAATAGTGAAAGATTGTTGAAATGGATATGAAGGTCCAGGATCTCATTCTGTAGATGATCCATGACTTGGCTGTGATTTGTTTTAGCACGATGCTAACATGTTAATAATTCATGACCTTGTTAAACCCTGACTCCCTCCCCGTTGTTCTCTTAAACACTGACTAATTCACTCAAACTTCCTCAACCTTACATACCATCACCTTTGTCTTGATGTGCCTCAGGTGGAACGATTGCCACACACCTCCTCTTTATGGAGCCTCTGTTGTGGCAGTCTGACCATCGCTGGCTCTGTGCCCAGCATGAGTTAAGGGCTCAGCGGTTAAACCTGACTGGGAATGTCCAAACAGTCTTCTGATAAACCGGTTGGTCAGCCGCTCTGTTTGTTTCCCTCTGAACACACTTGGCAGCAGCCAACTCTTATCACACAGGTGGCAGGTAGATGAGCTGAAGTGATAAAAAGGCAGTGTTGAGTTTCTATCCAGTCTTGTTCTCTGTTCCAAGGTTTAGTTTGTAAGTTTGTTCAGTTTCTGTCCTCTTTGGGCCGAACTCTGTTTAAACCACAGCCTCAACCATCCAGTTGTCACTATTTGATGTAATCACATATAACTGTGGGGAGAAAATAACTAAAATTACAGATTTTAAAGATTAAGGGATACGTTTTCAGATGAAATTTCTTGTTCCTGATTCTGCTCTACATCTTAAAAACAGGCCCGTTGTTCTGCTGCCTGTTTAAACAAATGCCTTGCATATCAATTAAAAGTATTGCCCATTTCATGAATATTACATATTAATGATTGTAAGCTCTGTTAGTATGTTTTCAATATTGCAATCTCTGCAAACCTCTGAATGTCTGCAATGATCAATAGAGATGGACAGCAGAAACACAATACTCCTTAAGTATAATTTTATTATTTATTACTGCTGGAGGGATTCAGTATCCTGTTCCCTTTCACTTATTAGTCACTTTGGGTAAAGCACCTAAAGCTTTATCATTTTTAAGACATATGACAGAACACCTTTTTTTCTGATGTTTTTATGCATAACCGTTAGTTAAAGCATTAAAAGAAGCAGACTTCTTTTTTGTGATGCAGTTTATTGATAATTTTACTTGCAATAATTTACAGGGAGTCTATAAGATCTTGCAAAGACAAATGCTAAGCAGGAAAAAATGCTTTGTTTTAAATATAAAGTGAAAGTTGATTAAAACTTTTGAAAAACACAGTAAGGTAATGCATTTAACATCCATATTTATTAAATCAGCAAAGTTATCCGTGGTTTTCATTAATTTTTTATCACATTCTGTATGGTCACATTTTGTCTTTTTATAGTTTTATTATTATTAATACTGTTTAGGTAACGATGTTGGTTAATACGTTCCTATACCAAAAATGAGTTGCCTTTAAATGAAGAGGTTAAAAAGCTGTTTTCAGTAGCAGTACCATGATAAGTTGTCACATTAAAGCGCTGGGCTGATTTATTTATGCATTTGTAAGAGCTGATTACTATTGTTTATTGTGGAGTAGCTGAAACAGACAGTTGTTTGTAAAGCATTAAGTGGGAGTAGATAAAGGCATGATCACAGGATCTCACATGATGGGGCTTTATGCTTTAGGGGGAAAGTTGAGAAGAATCCACCAGAATGGATGGTGAGGATTTGTAGATTTGAAAAGGGTGCCAAATTTTCCTTATAATCCAGTTTTATGGTTTTACTTTGGTAAATAAGATATGCCAATAGTTAAGATTTCTTAGCCTAAATTGACTGTTTCAATAATTAACTATGCACATGCAATCCTTACGGGCCTTGTTTCATTTTTCTCACCTCATGTCTGCTGTTGTTTCCCCACAGGAACACCATCTTCAGCGGGCCATCTCGGCGCAGCAGGTCTACGGCGAGAAGCGGGACAACATGGTCATCCCGGTCCCTGAGGCGGAGAGCAACATCACCTACTACGACTCCCTCTACCCCGGAGAATTCAAGATGCCAAAGCAGCTCATTCACATACAGCGTGAGTGTGTGGAGCTGAAAGAGGAGCAGAACACCCTTAGTGGAATCGTACCCTATCAAAGTGTTTGGTTTATTTGATAACAGCCACTGGTCCAGTTTATTAAAGCTCAAAGTAATGTCTGAATCTAAAGTGAGTGCTTGTCGGCGTAAATAAGTTTTAGATTGCCTTGTTGTGTAATATTTGAGGGAATGAGTTTGCTAGGTTGCCTGCTTCAGTAAGCGTGTCCGTGTCACAATAGGTTTCCTCCATTGTTTCTCCAAAAAGAATCCATTTGCTTCTAAGTGCAAAGCTGCTATCAGTTCAGTGTGTGGGGGGACCGGTTTACTGCAGCTGTCACAATGATTTTCAGGGTTTCTCAGAGGGTCAGACACAGAGACCTGTAGAAAATTCAGTTTGAATCTCTACTTTAGTTCTCTGAAGTTTAGAGTGAGTAAGTTAAACAGTTTCATGGTGCTGCTTTTCATTTAAATGTTACCTGCTGCAGGGCTGTCAATAAAACCCCTCAGGACGTTTGGACTCCAATATAATCCCTTCTGCAGTCAATTGAAAGTTTTTTTTTTATTTTTATTTTTTTGGTATTAAATCTTTTTCATTTTAAAATCTGATGAAACATTTCTACTATTGTGACTTGGGTCTACATGCAGCTGGTTTAAAAGCTTTTGTGTCTGTTTTGACATAGACCAGCTGAATTAAAACGGATGCCGCTCTCATTCGATCTGAGAGTGTTTTTATCGAGTGCAGTAATCTGAATCCTTCTGCTTCACTTAAAATGGCCCCACACCTGACTTCTTGGTGTCAGGGAAGAAAAAACAGAAATTGACTGAGTCTGAGGAGATTTATTTCAGTAAACTCTGATTCAGTCTGGCTTTGTCTTTCTGATGTGCATCTGAGATGAACAGCATGAAGGGTGCTGGGGGTTTGTTGTCACTGTTTAGGGAAGGGAAGAGAAAATCTGAATTTAATTTGGCATGTTGTCCAGAAAGACCTTCCTGGATAGACGCTGATAGTGTTGACTTTTCATTAGCTCCAGGAATAATTTCGTTTAATTATCTGAAAGGCCAAGCTACGTTTAATTAAGTCAGATAATCATCCAGACTTTAATGTCCAACACGTCCCAGATGTCCTGTTCTCTTAAAGCTCTCGTTTGTGTTTATGCCGCTGGATAGTTTGTGGATCCGATGAATAGAACAGCAGTCTGCACACAGTTTCAGCTCGGCCTGCTAACATTACGCTTTTTGTTTGTGTTTGAATAACTGAAACACTCAGTTAATAACATTAGTTTGTGTAGCAGATATAGTTTTGTTATATTTCAGCTTTTGGTTTCTGTTGCTGTAGAACAACTGGACTCTGCTGGACCCAGCCTTAATCTACTGATATGGATTATTGCAAGATTTTAATTTCTTTATTGGAGAACTATGATCAGCATGATTTGGAATATTAATTTACCACTACTGTGATTATACAGGTATTTTGAAAAACTTGATTTATTTCAGTTATTGCATTCAAAAGGTGTAACTTTTACATTATATTTATTCATTGCACACACACTGATGCATTCAAATGTTTGCTTCATTTGATTTTGATGATTTGAAGTGGCAACAAATGAAAATCCAAAATTCTGTGTGTCACAAAATTAGAATTAGAATATTGTGTAAGGGTTAAATTTTGAAGACACCTGGTGCCACAAACTAATCAACTGATTAACTCAAAACACCTGCAAATGGTCTCTCAGTCCAGTTCTGAAGCCTACACAAACATGGGGAAGACTTCAGATTTGACAGCTGTCCAAAAGGC